TGATTTGATTTATTTTTCTACCACTGTGTATTAATTTGAGAGACAAATAGTCTGTACCGTAATATCACCCCGCAAGCTTTTACAATGTACTCCAGAGGCTGTACTTGTCTAAGCAGCAGTGCGTCTCTCACAGAGATTTATTATTATGCCTATGTATGCACCGCTGCCCCTCAGTAAAACACAAGGCACTTGTCTGTGCAGAGGACAAGAGAGAGCAGGACAAAGTGAGATGGGGAAAGACTGACAGGGTGAAAGGAAGAATAAAAAGGGGCCTGAGCAGGGTCTGTGTTGGCTCAGAGCCAGAGATATCTAAGTTTAATCCATTCAGACGGCAGCGAACAAGTGATTTAAAAGATCCCTCTTACATACTCAGATCTTTGGAGGTTGTGAGGGAAAAAACAAAAAAGTAATCAAATACAGTGTCCTGTCTACTCAAGAGGAAATGGAAGACTTGGCATAGACTCTGAACGAAACTGAAGTTTGTTGTGATCAAGGATCCTCTTGACTTTGTCTTCCAGCTCATGAAGTTTGGTGGATAGTAGGGAAGTTTGCTACAGATAACAGGAATAACAGCAGAGAGAAGGGTAGCAACATACAAGTATACAGCTACTAGATATGTTTACTACTGTATGATTCATGGAAGGAAAAAACACCAATGGTCAATAAAAACCCTGTCTCAATATCCTCAGTGACGCTCTGACCCAACTTTAATGGAGGAGGGATGAAAATAGTCTCGACTCTTGTATCCGGCAATGACACAAATATTCACTAAGCATCGGGTCATTGTTTTCCTGTGAGAGGTTTCTTTGTCCTATAGTGGAGGTCAGGCTGGAGGAGAGAGGCTTAATGTGATGTTATTGTTCTCATGGTGTGGGCCTCCACAGTGAGGAGTATCTAAGAAACTTAACTTTTCAATAAGACAGGAACAACATCTGTTATTTTATCATGAAGCTTACATCAACATTAGTCTGATATCTGTTGTTGTTTTTAACAATCAGCTGCATGAACACACTATGATACAGGTGATGCTCTTAATAAATGCCTTGCTGGAAGTCTCAAATCATTTTGAATTCAAACAGGATTACAATTTAAAAATCTGTGTTACTTAGATGCTGTAAAACACTAGGATTGGAAACTGTTTCCTAAAATGTTGTCTTTTACTGCCCACATGGCCTGAATGTCCTCAGGTTTGAGGTCAGCTTACATAACAGGTTATTTCCACTGATGAGGCAGCCTTCAGTCTGATATTATACAATGTCATATGAGGAGAAGCTTTGGAGGAGTTATACAATATCATACCTACATACTGTATATGTCTGTTAATAAAAAAAATAGATCTGCAGAAACCTGTAAACTTTGAACAAGCAAAGAAAAGTGAGTACCAATCTCTACCGGATGTTTTAAAGGGCAAAGTGGCTCATGTTGAAATGGCTTTTCAAATGTCAGAAAAGGAAAGAGTGAGCTATAGAGAAAGCCTGGACCAGGTTCTCATAAGAGGAGAGCGGGGAACAGACATCTCTGTCGCCATCACTGCTTATCCATCAGACAACCCTCTTTTCTTTGACTGCTGTAACTCAGGGAGGATCAGGCTATGAAAGCCATTATAAGAGAGTGTCTCCTCTCTACAACGTGATCACACATCATTTCCAGATCGGTGGCTTTGCATAAGAGACATTGTAGTTTGAAAGGAAATGTAACCTGTCTCAAAGGGCTTAAAAAGGTGTGACATCTTCCTCCCAGCAACCTCAACAAGAGTAATGATCAACTGCCAAAAAAAACCTTTTAACAGGGGGAAACATGGAAACCCCAGAGAGCCACATGTGAGGGATCTCTCTCCCAGGGTGCACAGAAGTGCAATAGATGCCGAGTGTAACTGAGAACATCAGTAAAATAACATTAATCAGAAGAACCAGTTTGTAACATAATGGAAAAGTCTGTACATGTTTAAAGTATTTGTACATAAGAAAAATGTCTGATAGAGATGAAGGGAGCAGCGATGACAGATGAGTTGAGGGGTTGTTGTCAGTAGTGAATCTCAAGTGAATCATAAGAGAGTGAGATGTTATCAGAGACAGCAGTACCTTGGTTCCCAGCTGCACCTTGACCTCCACTTTCTGTTTCTTCTGCTCCAGGAGGCTCAGCAGGTGCTCCTGAAACACGCCGATCCTGGTGAAGAAGTGCTCGTCGTGCCAGCAGCCCTCCATGTTGTCAAAGTCCACCCCGAGTCCCAGCAGGAACTTCACGCTCCGGGGATCCAGCGCGATCTGCTGGGGTCGGCACAGCAGCGCGCTCCGGTACCGCTCATCCAGCACGGTCAGTTTCAGCACCTTCCCGGAGCGGACAGCGACCAGCGCGGCCGTCAGCCCCACGGGTCCCGAACCCACGACGAGCACCGAGATCCGGGTCCGCCACTGTCTGATTCCGTCCAGGCTCACTTTCACCACCACGTACACGGCCACCGCCACCAGGGTGCTCAGAGCCGTGTCATAGGCCAGAGCGCGGTACTTGTCCTCCGGGTTTTCTCCAGCCTGCTCCGCCTGCAGCGCGTCCATAGCTCCGGCAGAGATGACACTGCGGTGTGTGGAGCTGTGTGTGTCCTCCTCTATCCACCAGCCCAGCGTCCTCTCACCATCTGTGCGTTCACTTGGAGGCAGCAGGAGGGTTTACTTCCGTGCACACTCACAGTCTCACCAGCTGAGATCTGCCACATCCCTCCTCTGCAAGTTGAATTGTTGCTGCACGCTGGACTATCTCTCTCTCTCTCCATGTTTCTCTCTCCCTCTCTCATTTCTCTCTCTCTCTCTCTACCCCTCTCTCATTTTCTGGTCCAGCCTGGAGTGAGCTGAGTCCAGAGGGTGAGCAGTGTAAAGACCTCTCAGCTGTCATGTTTGTGCAAGTGCCAGGACTTCAGAAAGTCAATGGAAAACTATATAAGTATATACTATATAAAAACTATGATTAAGATATAAAATACATGGACTTATTTTAATCACAGGCCCACACCTATATAGGTATGTCTCCTTTTCTAAAATCCAATAGATGCAAACTGCAGGGAATGGACATGTGCTTTGTTTTTACTCTGGGAAACTATTGATTTTCTGAAAACAAGATTTAACTCTGTCTCTCTCATAAACACACACACAGACACCAACACACAGACACACACACACTGTACTTGTATCCTCTGAGAACACTAACCTAAACTTAATTCTAACTCTTAAAGCAAATGTTAATGCTCAAGAAGCCCTTTAGTGAGGACCGTCCAAATGTCCTCGATCCGTAAGGTCTATGCCCAGAAAGATATAAGTACTCACATATGCCATCACCACAGTAAACCTACAATCAATCGCAAAGTGTACAGACATCTACTCCTAGGATCAATGTTCAGTTTAGAAACTGAATTGGATGATGAAAGTTCACAGATTTACACAGAAATAGCAGGCGAAAGATAAAGAGAAAAAAAGCCAGAGGACAAGAGATGCTGGTGAATGTTTCCACAAATCACATCTGCTGATAAGCAGCTTCACATTAATCTCCCCTTTATCCCTATGTGCCATGCAATTCAATTTCAATTGCGTCTTTCAATTATGCATCAATTTCCTTTTGCTTTTCCTCTGAAAAAAGAAGCAATGACCGTGAAGATGGCTCCTCAGAGGACAAGGCCAGTTTGTATGAACAGATGTCTTTCGTAAAAATAGCAAAACAGATGATGATGCTCACATTCTATCTTCCATATATCATTTTGATAAATATTGATTTGACTTGTTACTGTGCTGTGATGGATGAATGACCTCACTAGACCTCTGGATGGTTTGGGCCAATTTACATGAAATAACAACTAAAGGAGCGGACAAATTAATTGATACAGTTTTTAACCTATGGACATTATTCGGTGTCATATTCTCTCATAGAAATTAGAGACATTACCCATCACTCCTCTCTTAAAAACCTCAATGCATCACATTCATTAAGTGATTTTAATTATAGTGGTGACCTTTGAGCCCCATTAGAGCGCAACAAAAAGTCAATTTCACAGGTGGTGATGTCATCAGTTTATATAAATGACTCTTCATATGAGTTACACCTTCACAGGAGACACAGAGGTTCATACAGCGTATTCATCACTGCATCCGACCATTGAAAAGAAAACTGTGTGAATCCATAAATCAATTTAAATTGCCAGGGATTTGGAGACAGTGAAAAAAGGATGCACACACATATAGACAGAGAGAAAGAGACGGAGGTGGACATATTGGTGTGATGCATTATGCTTTCCACCTCTGCTCAGGTGCCTAGCAACGATGATATTGCTCAGACAGTCCAGGTGAAAGGAGAAATGAAGCTCTAATTACCGCAAAGACCTGCAAGCTGGCAGGCAACCAGAGACGAGGCCTTTTCATAGAAATGAATGGAAACTAAACCAGGAGCTGAAATATTCCAATGATTACTTTGTGGAACTAAACTGTTGTCTTCCTCTCAATGCAGAATGAGCTGAAAGCACATTTGGTAAAAATAGAGTCCACTTCCATATTTTCTGCATGCATGATACATCTATATGCATGTTAAATAACGTTTTAATGTGTAGATACCTTCAATACTTCCTGACTCAATGCCCTGTGAGATAATACAGTAGAAAACAATTGCCCATCTAAGCAACACTTTTGCTTTGATTTCCACATTAGCGTGCTAATTTATGCAGTTACAAAGGGACTATGGAGATAATCCATCCACGAAGCCTCAGAATTTGAATGTGTTAATGACACTGAGTGGATCCTCACACATCCCACTCTGACACAATCCTACTCCCGAACAAAAGGAGCAGAGAGAGCAGGTCTTTATCAGCTTGCTCACATCTTACGGCCCAGTAATGGGGCTGTGCTCAGGTCTGAGGTCATTAGAGAGGAAAAAAACATTAGGCCTCCACACAATGAACACAAACCCTCATTGTTGTCAGGGAGTTCAGGCGGCATTGAACTAGCATATCCAAATACGGGGGGGGGGGCACTGCCGGGAGAGATAGCAGATTTAGTTTGCAGTCTTTACACCCTCTCTGTGTGTTCGAACAAGCTGAGGTGAAATGAAGAGGACACTTAAGAGACAGAGATGGCGACTTAGCATGTGTGAGTGCATCTTGTTTACAGATTGAAGAGAGGGCAGAGAGGGCAGACTGCCACAGAAGCACATCAGCTAGTCTGATATCAGTGTTAGGAGCAAAACGTTTTGGAGGGATCACTCTGATATCTGCTTAACCACTGGGGTTAGTTTGTCATTCCCTGTGTTAAGGGTTTCAATCATTCATACAGTTCCTCTTCCACTGTTGTACTATGCTATGAGAACTATGCACCAGAGTAACTGTAATGATCTCCAAATTAATCTTGTAGTTTCATAATGATTTTTCCCACATGTCCACCTGAAAATAAACATCCTCTCTGTTGGACATACCACCGCTCTAGGAGATAACCGACCTCACACGACCCCCCCCAGGTGTGATAACACACAAGGAAATCTCCTGTTAATTTTGGATGAGCAACAAATACTTTGGATGATCATTTCAAGGCCTCGGCAGAGCAGACGTCACGGCTAACACTAACACAACAGATAAGACTGGACAACAGCCAAAATATTTCGTGCACTTCATCTCAAGGGCAGAGAGAAATGCCTCTGTGGCTGGACAAATGAAATTACTTCTCATCAGGTTATTCTATTGCTCTTGAGTTCCCGTGTTTATATTTTGCTGTTTTCTTGCACTGTGTGTTAGATGCGGGTGGTGAAAGTGGAAAATCCTACACTCCCCCATGGTGTTTGCTCAGCCAGCCGTCATCCTGTCCAGCTGAGTCTTAAGTAGTGACGTGTTCAGAGCCGACTGAAACTGCAGTGACGTGGGTTCAGGCAGCCGAGAACACACTATGACCAGATCAGGTCACCATGGTTACTCAGCGTAATAAGGTCGGTGTGTGACGCTGGGTGTTGCCATCTTAGCACACTACTGGAAGGTTTCCACCAGCAATCAGTGGCTGCAAATCTAGTTTTTTTTCCAATAGCTGTCCAGTAGAGCACATAATAGCACAATGATTCCTTAATTACATATTTTGATCTGACAAGTGCGTTCTTAATGAATTCTTAAGTCTCATAGTGGGCAATCAAAAATTTTACTGAAGCATGTCTTGGCACATTTGCTGAGAGTCCTTAATTACAAACTGTGTCCCCATCAACACATTTCCAAGAAATCCGTGCTGGTTAAAACAGAACCATTCAGCAGCCCAGCTGCAGAGGACCAGAGAGCCAAGCTTGATCATTAAGAACCAACATTTATATTGAAAGGGAAAATTAACTTTTCACACTGCATTAAAATTACTGTCAGGACTGTTGCTGGTATTTAAGAAGACTTTATTTTCTCACAGAGATTGTATAGAGACATGTTGATTGGTTTCACTATTAGCTGAAAACATGACAACTCAAACACGCACATAAAACCGACTGCAGTGGAGATAGCATGGCAACTAAGTGTTAAGAACTGTACTATCCCAGGTGTTATAAAACTTTCACTACTGGGGCTTTCTTGTCAAATAACACTTTACTTTTACAACATCATGAAAATAAATCTTTGAAAAACTTCAGTAAGCCAGTATTTAAAGGAATATCATGTTACAGCCAAGAGCCAAAGCAGTAAATAAAATCAACCCCTTTACATTTTAATAGTCCTGCAGAAATGGTTTTGACTCCTCAGACAAACATATATGTTCCCAGGAGGACTGATGTCTAACCATCACTGGCACGACATGTTCAACTGCTTTTCCAGTAGTTCATGAGGACGAATCTAATTAGAGTCCAGGGGGGTTAAATCTCCTCCATGTAATCTGACAAGTTCTTCAAATGAACTACTGGTAAAAGGTGTTTGAATTTTTCTGGCAGTATATTATAGTTCTATTTTAATTATGCATTTTTCCTGTGAAATACATGTGCACTTAAAGGCCTCTGATATACAAGGTTCTGCCACAACAACACGTCAATCAGGCCAGAACATATAATTGAGCTGCAGTGAAAAATTCCCCCTTTGGACACAGATACAATGGACCTGTTACAGACCTGTTTAGTACAAGTTAAAGAGCATTGTACTCTACACACTTTGATGGATCAGTGGTGAAGTGTTTCTGGCAGATGGTCATTAGCCTCTTCAGTCCCTGTGGTAAGAAAAATAAAAACAAGGTGAGAAAGCTCAACTCTGACGGAAATCAAGTGGTAAATTATCTCAAATTGAGTAGAATTCATGCTGTAGATGGAAACAGGATGAGGTAGTTAGGCTATAATTTCATCAAATGTTGGTAAATGTTTGTTGGCAGAGGTGGAAACATTTCTAACACATCCTGAATTATTTCACAAGCAACATATCAGGATTAGCTTTAAACTTAATTCCACATTAATAATTGTGTGTAAACCATTGTTATAGTTCGGGGAAATATAATACAATCTTTTGACCTCTACTGCCTGTGACGAGCCACTAACCTCAACACTGACATCATTCAGAAATGCCAGCAGTTTTTTCAAATACAGTATTAACATGTCCAATGCTAATTTATGCAGGTGTGGTGAAAATAATGCAGCAGTCTGCTATATCTACAGTTAAATGGTCTGTACTTACATAGCACTTTTTCATACAGTGCATCTATATCCAGCACTTT